CCACCAAGCAAAGCAGGCGGATCGTAAAAAAATGAGCTGTGATCCAGTAAAAATCCTATTACATTTTACCGTGTTTTACGATTAGGCATTAGGTTCGAATGGATGAGCCGGCTGACCAATGGTCAGTTCTAAGTTGTTAGAGTTAAGAGTATGGTGTCGGCTTTTGCCCCCTTGTGACGACCCTCACGTTGAGGTCTCGAATTTCACCGTCAGGGTCAAGGGTCGAAAGCGAAGTAACGAGAGTGAAGGAGACGCATTCTGTCCACTGGTCAGTACGGCAACAATAAGAAATTAGTTTGTCAAGTGCAGAGGTCAAGGGCTAACAAGGCACGACAAACTCCGGCCACGCCTACAGTCATTCCTCATTCAGAAAGAAAAGGAATACAAACAATCACACCTTATTTGATAAAAGAGTGAGCGGGTTATGGAAATGTTCTTTCTAATAATTGTGTTGTTCATTTATGGCTGGGTGTTTATGCATGCGATGTTCACGTACTTTGAATATAGTCGACGTGGATATATCACGCGAAGAAAATAAAGAAATGTGTAAAACGAATTTACTAAAAAACAAAAGTTTTCCCCTAATCTAAAGACGGCCACAGTTTTTAACAGGACACACCACATCCCATAGACGGCCACAGTCTTCACCAAAACACACTACATCCCATAGGCGGCTACAGTCTTCATCAGAACACACTGCATCCCATAGACAGGCACAGTCTTCACCAGAACACACTACATCCCATAGTCGGTCATAGTCTTCACCAGGACACACCACATCCCATAGTCGGTCACAGTCTTCATCAGGACACACCACATCCCATAGTCGGTCAAAATCTTCACCAGGATACACTACATTCCATTGACGGCCACTGTCTTCATCAGAACACAATACATCCCATAGACGGTCACAATCTTCACCAGGACAAACCACATCCCATAGTCGGTCACAGTCTTCACCAGGACACACCTCATCCCATAGACAACCACAGTGTTACCAAGGACACACCACATCCCATAGTCGGTCACAGTCTTCACCAGGACACACCACATAACATAGTCGGTCACAGTCTTCACCAGGACAAACCACATCCCATAGCCTGTCAGTCTTCACTGGGACACACCACATCACATATTCGGTCACAGTCTTTACCAGGACACACCACATCCCATAGTCGGTCACAGTCTTCACCGGGACACACCACATCCCATAGTCGGTCACAGTCTTCACCAGGACAAACCACATCCCATAGACGGCCACAGTCTTCACCAGGACACACCACATCTCATAGTCGGTCACGATCTTCACCAGGACACACACATCACATAGTCGGTCACAGTCTTCACCAGGACACCACATCCCATAGACGGTCAAGTCTTCACCAGGACACTTCACATCCCATAGACGGCCACAGTCTTCACCAGGATACACCACATCCCATTGACGGCCACAATCTTCACCAGGACACACTACATCCCATAGACGGCCACAGTCTTCACCAGGACACACTACATCCCATAGACGGCCACAGTCTTCACCAGGACACACCACATCCCATAGACGGCCACAGTCTTCACCAGGACACACCAAATCCCCGAAACCCCACTACATTCTGGTGAAACAAATTTTGTTGACTTCTCATTTCATAGTTAGCATGCATTTCAGAGATGCTTCCAGGTGTAAAGACAGAATTTTTAAGGGGAAAAAATCAGCATGGTGGAAAGGAAAAATCTAGATCATTTGATAAACTTAATAATATTTTTCCCCCGTAATTGTCAGAATGACCTGACGACTGTCCCCGGCTATTCATCACAATTTAAACACGAGCGTACATAATTAATGACAATATCACTTGACGCATATGTAGAGAAGGTAAATTAGAAAATTTAAAAAAAAAAAAAAATTAATTCAAAACAAAAAAATTATTACAAAAAAAACAAACGAAACGTTTTATCACAAAAATGAGTTGAAATGCATTAAAAAATTGAAACTAATGTAAACGTTGTTAAAATGAATTACGCTACACCCTGCTCCCTCGACCCAGCATACCGGAGCCCCCCACACTTTGAACCAACACGTCAGACAAGCTTTCTAGCCGGCATGTGACAGACGCTCAACTGAGCGAGAGAGTCACTTGTGTCCACAAAAAGAAAAAAAAACAAAAAAAAAACAAACAAACAATGAAAGAACTCTGTACAAACAAGATGGCAATGCTAGTGGGGGGAAAAATGTCGTTAACATAAAGCAAGTCAAGTAACTACTCTGTGGCAATGACTCGAACCCTTTACAGCAGATCTAACTAAACAGGGCTGCCTTCAAATGCTGAGTTTAGCTCGGGCCATGCGTTATGGCGGCTGCAGGCAGTGTAAAAATAGAGCAGAATCAGTTCAACCCAGTATCAAGCCATGCACATCAAGGGCTGTCGCGGGGAAAACTGGCGCCTGGGCGAGGGACTGAACATGGCGCCATTCAGTATATAGGAAAAGTCCCCCCAGGTTGGACCAGTAAAAAGACGATTTTGACGCCCCCTGGGTGTTATAAAGTACATGGGATTTTATCGTTTAATTCACCATTAATGACCTATCTAAAGACGATTAAGGCGCCCCACCTTTTTTCATGTTTGCGCCCGGGGCGATTGATAACTTCACCCCCCCCCTCCTCCCATTTTGCACAGCCCTGTGTTCATGCATTTAGGTGTCGATCTGGGCTAAAATAAATCCTTGTTTTTTTTAGTTTTTTTTTGTACATGTAGACATTTCATAAGTCTTAAACAAATTAAACATGTGTTTTAGACTAATTAAAGAGGTCACAAATAATAGCGTAAGTGCTGACCGCATTGTGTTGGTGGAATTAGGAGGTGATGTGTACACGTGGGAATGGGGCGCTGGAGCGGTCTCGTACGTAACTAAGATTTATGCCTATCATGGGAACTAACGCACGGCGGAACAGCTGAAATCTGATGTAAGGGTGATAACACAAGCCAATGAAACATTTGAAATCTGGTGTAAGGGAGATAACACCAGCCAATGGAACAGTTAAACTCTAAGATAAGGGAGATTATATCAGTCAATGCAACAGTATGACAAGTCTTGAGGCTTAACGTTTTCTTACTAATTGAACAGCAACATCGGATGTTTTACAATAACAATTTTATTTTAAGTATAAACAAAATATTTGTCAACAAAATTAACATTATAACTTCATTTACCAGTCTACACAACAAAACATACATCCAACATATAAATAGCTTTATCCAACGTGTATATAGCTAAATCCTCGTATACATACAAAATTGAAATTCTGAGTAAACATAGAACAGAGGAGTGAAAAGGGTTATACAAATATTTGGTGCATTTTAAGAAAATGAAATGTTAGAATAAAGAAAGAAACTTTCAAAATTAAACATGGTGGTGAAACATTGAAAAGTTTAACAATAATATTTATTATTTACCAGAGTTACGGGTCCATGGTGTGATTGATGCCCCATTTACTCTACTGCCTACATAATTTATCCCTTCATGCCGCTGCACAGCCTTACAATGACAAGACAGAACATCTTGTACACGGCCTCTCCAGTATAAAGTTATTTTCAACCATTACTAAGAAAAAGAAACCAACAAAACACTGAATGACAATTAAAACGTCATTTTGATACTTCATCAGAATCATCAGACACACATTTGATGTTCAACTTGATATTTCACCAGAATGAACAGGCACATTTTTAGGTAAATTTGATATTTCACCAGAATGAACATATTCAAATTTTATGGTAAATTTGATATTTCAACAGAATGAACACACACAATTTTGATGGTCAACTTGATATTTCACCAGAATGAACAGACTCAAACTTTATGGTCAATTTGATATTTCAACACGATGAACACACCCACATTCGATGGTCAATTTTATATTTCACCAGAATGAACAGACACACATGGGATGGTCCATTGGACATTTCGTCAGGATGAGCAGACACAAATTTGGTGGTAAATTTTGTATTTCTCCCAAATGATAAGTCACACTTTTGATGCCGTTTTTCTGAAATACATTTCGCTACCTGGCTTCAGTTACAAGAAGTTAACAAATCTAATATTTATTTTGAAAACAGAAAAATTCTCCAGCATCTAAATTTAAAAAAAAAAATAATTGTATAAAGACCTAAACATCACTGACTTATTTTTAATTTTTTTGTGTAACTGGATGCAGGCAGTCACCGAGTGTTGCTTATAGCCAAAAGAGAAAAAAAAAACAAACCAACAACCCCTAAACCAATGGGATTGACGACAACCGCCCAACAAACACACAACATCAGTTAATGAGTTGACACCTTTTTCATTTCGTCCTAAGTTTCACGTCACTATTCTAATCTAATCTAACAACAAGCCCATCTCCTGGCTTCAAATTCAGACGGTTTAACTTGACCTGCTGACCAATGGTCATTGACGGGTCAACGTGAGGCGTGCAGACCACAACCCGGCCTTCCTGGGCCTCCACGGGGGACGCTGTTATGTCCAGATTGAGAACCGCTGCCTTGCCAGGGTTAAGCAGCACCAGGTATCTGTCCTTGTAGTCAGGGTGCTGGCGTAGATAAGCGAAAACGTCTGGGAACAGAATCAACCATAAAGTGGAAGTTATATTTCAGAGAATAATCCGTAAGGGGGACGGACGTTCGCAAATTACGTCACGACAAAAATGACATCTTCAGACCCCTCTCCCCTGCCACAAAGTGTCACAAATTCTTTACCCCTCCTACCCTCTCTCAGTGTCACGTCACACCTAAAAAAATTCAAAACATATATTAATTTTCATGACTTAACTAAGATTTTATTTTATTCTTTAAGATTTCCCCATAATGGATTAAGATGTTGTATTATTAAAAAAAACTTTGACGTGAAACGCACATTTAAAAAGGCCACAACAGTTTTTGCGTCATTTTTCGAGATGTGCAGAAGGTGTGTGCGACTGAGTCTCACGGTACTTATAATACCTGAGGCAATTTCGACCTCAAATTAATGTTTTTAAATTAACTCAAAGATTTTTTTCAAAATAAGAAACTTTTAGATTTAAAAAAGTGTGACGCAACAAATGTTTCCCCCACCCTCCTGTCACAAATTCTCGACCCCCCCCTTCCCCCCCCCCCCTTTAGCGTGACGTAATTTTCGAACGACCGCTTAAATCTGTGGGGTGACTTCGGAAAGATGTACCACCCAATCAAAAAGAAAAGACTAGACCATTGCAGGAGCGTCTGTCCACATCTCCCGAGTGGTGGAAGCCAACCTCCCTTCCCCCTATAGACCTTGGTGTCTGTCCACATTTCCAGAGTGGTGGAAGCCAACCTCCCTTCCCCCTATAGACCTTGGTGTCTGTCCACATTTCCCGAGTGGTGGAAGCCAACCTCCCTTCTCCCTATAGACCTTGGCGTCATTCCACAAGTCACGAGTAGTGGAAGCCAACCTCCCTTTTCCCTATAGACCTTGGCGTCTGTCCACAACTCCCGAGTGGTGGAAGCCAACCTCCCTTCTCCCTATAGACCTTTGCGTCTGTCCACATCTCCCGAATGGTGGAAGCCAACCTCCCTTTCCCCTCATAGACCTTGGATCTGAGAAATACTATGTGTCAGTCTTGGTATTGATGTTGTATTTGGCAGCTGACATTGGATTAATACAAACATTTAAAGCTGAAAATCTTTTAGGACATTGTTGACTACACACACGGCTTAAAAACTATTTCTATTTCCCTAAAAAGCTTCATTTAAATTCTTCAAATTTTTCAACAAATCGAATGGTAAAATCCTGCGATTATATTTAATCAATACTTTTAGAACGTCTATAATCGTAATTCTTAAAATTCATTGCATGAATGATGGTAAACACTTTTTGCTCTATGCTAGGAGTTTGGCGTTCAACTTCAAGCCTAAGCCTGACAAAACATATTTTTTTCCTGTTAACAAAATTACCACCCCTTGTCCTTAAATATAATTTAAAAACAAAACAAAAAAGTATTTTTATTGTTTTTTTCCCCCGTATTATTTTTTTCCCAGATTGAAAAAAAAATCAGATTTCAGATTGGAAGAATTGCTTCGTCTTCCCCCCCCCCCTTTTCCCCGACCCCCCCACCTGTGTAGATGCACCTGGACCAATGTTACTACCATTTACGGGTGCAAAAAATCTTAAGAACACTTTTCAAATTTTAACTTTTTATGTTTAATTTCCTGAAAAAAAAAAATCTTTAATTTCACCCGCAGTTGTCAAACAAAATCACATATGTTGCATAATATTTAGAGCCCATTACAAGAATCTGTAACAACGTCAGTAGCAAGTGTAGCTGTTTTTTTTTTTTATTATTATTTTTTTTTTAAATTATTATTTTAAATTTCTACCTCTGTCACAGACAGCGTACTCCACATCACCACACAGGAATGCCGGCTCTTGCCTCAACTTGGCCAACAGCTTGTAGATCTTCAGACTGCTCAGGGGCCCCCCGTCATCTGACTGGATCTGTGTGGCGGCAGAGCGTAAGAATCAAATGTAATCTCTAACGAAATGGTGTGGTGACAGCTGTCATTTCCCATTAGCACCATCTCCTTAATACAAAAAAAACCCTGATATATAGGACACACACCTCCTCCCGCCCACCTCCCCCCCCCTCCCCCCCAAAACATGTACGTCCAAGATTTAAGCTCAGATGTATGTAGAAAGATAATTAATGCATATACACCGAAAGGTTGGGTTTATCAAAGAACTAGGCTATGCTGTCGCCTCCCTGGTGTGAATGCAGTCCTGAAGGATACCCATCCTTCTTGTCAGAATATAAACGTATTATAGCAGTTACAGTATAACGTTACATTCACAAAGGGGCAAAGAAAAGAACAAGTTTAGTCATAAATACATCTAGCCAAAATTTTAATGTTAAAAAAAACTAAAAAAAACATTCTAATAAAATGTCCTTAAAGCGCATGAGACTTTTGAGTTTTATCTGCTTGGTGAGATTTTATTTCACTTATTATGAAATTTGGCAAATTATTTTGTAGCTTTAATTCATAATGTGAAAGAAAAGTGTGGCGTGCTGTTAATGGCCCAACCAAGTTTTTCATAAAAAAAAAGCCCAAAAAAAAAAAATAAAAAAAAAAAAAAATAATAAAAAAATAAACAGCACCCGAAACTACCACATTAACAACATCAACCACTGAAATTACATCAACCACTTAAATTACATCAACCACTGAAATTACATCAACCACTGAAATTACAGCAACCAGTTAAACTACAGAAACCAGTTAAATTACAGCAACCAGTTAAATTACAGCAACCACATCAACTACATCAACCAAATAAAGCTACAGCAACAAAATCAACTACAGCAACCACATCAACTACAGCAACCACATCAACTACAGCAACCACATCAACTACAGGCAACCACATCAACTACAGCTGTCTAAACATATCACCCTGCTCTTAAGTTACTGCACGGCTCATGTCACCTTAACATTGACTGTCTGGTAGTTTGAGTGGACAGGTAGCCAGGGGCGGTCGCCTGTGGTGAACCCAGCATGAGCAGCGTCGTCCCACTGCATGGGCCCCCTGCATGGGTCGCGTGAGTAGACCATGTATCTGCTCTGTTGGAGATACACAAAAAATCATAGAAATCAGTGCTGGAAGGGGGGAGCTATAACTTATGTTTCTTGCAAGTATTTTAAAATGAACAATCTACAATGTTGTTGCAGAATGGGCTGCTGATAGAATGTTGATAACATGCCCATAACAATGGTGTTTTAATTAAGGTAATTCAACAATGCCTTAAAAAAAAAAAAAGTTTTCGTTTAAAGCCTTTATGTGTGTTTTTTTTAAAAAATTATTATATTTTATATTAGTGTTCTTATGATCCATTCGTGCCTTTTTCACCGCAGATTTATTACACATTCTATTTCAGAAAAATAAAAAGAAAATATTAAGCACCAAACGCACTTGGGATATTTATTTTTATAAGAATCTCATTTAGCGCAGTTATCAGGAATTTTATTTCGTCAAATCAGTGGTATCATACTTCGGTCATCTTTCCCTTGAAACATATTTTTTTTTTTTTTTTGCTTTTTAGGGTGGGTTTGAAAACTTCAAAAAAAACGTGTTTTCAACGGCAACGAATCCATGTGCAAAGTTTCAGCTCGATAGGTTGACGGGAAGTGGGCCATTTAGCCGTCCGAAAATATTTCCCCCCAATACTTCGGTCATCTTTCCCTTGAAACATATTTTTTTTTTTTTTTGCTTTTTAGGGTGGGTTTGAAAACTTCAAAAAAAACGTGTTGTCAACGGCAACGAATCCATGTGCCAAGTTTCAGCTCGATAGGTTGACGGGAAGTGGGCCATTTAGCCGTTCGAAAATATTTCCACCCAGCCAGAAAGAAAAGTACGAAGAAAAACGAATTTAGTATTATGGATTTAAACATGAATTTTGGTTTAAAAAATGGACTTTATATTGTGTCACTGGATCGGTTGTGTGTACCGTAAGAGCTTTGTGTGAGCATGGCGCCAGCCACTCACCGGTCCCATGTTCTTCCCGAAGGGGTCCTGTGTGTCTTCATACGACACGCTAATCTCTTCCATGCCGATCTCTTCCCCGTAGTATGTGGTGGGCGTGCCTTTCAGTGTCAGCAGCAGCACGTTCAGCAGGTCGGCGTACTGACGACCAAACTTGGCAGTGGCACGGTGGCGGTCATGGTTTCCGATCTGAAGACGACAAAGAATGTCAGGCAAGGCAAATGTATGTTGGGTAAGGCAAACCTATGTCGGCCAAGGCAAACCTATGTCGGGTAAGGCAAACGTATGTCAGCCAAGGCAAACCTATGTCGGGTAAGGCAAACGTATGTCGGCCAAGGCAAACGTATGTTGGGTAAGGCAAAACTATGTTGGGTAAGGCAAAACTATGTTGGGTAAGGCAAAACTATGTTGGGTAAGGCAAATCTATCTTGGGTAAGGCAAAACTATGTTGGGTAAGGCAAATCTATGTTGGGTAAGGCAAACCTATGTTGGGTAAGGCAAACCTATGTTGGGTAAGGCAAATCTATGTTGGGTAAGGCAAACCTATGTTGGGTGAGACAAACCTATGTTGTGTATGAAAAGCCTATGTTGGATAAGACAAACCTATGTTGTGTATGAAAAGCCTATGTCGGATAAGACAAACCTATGTTGGGTTAGACAAACCTACGTTTGGTAAGACAAACCTATGCTGGGTAAGACAAATCAATCTGGGCAAGACAAACCTATGTTGTTGATGCGCCAGTTATCACATTTCAACACGTTTTTGATGTGACAAATGGATTGTTGATGTTTTTGGTGGTTGCTGTTTTCTTTGTTTTTTTAAAACTTACAACAAAAGTAGGCCACGCCCCTGGTGGCAGGTTATCATACTCTTCCCTGATCAACTGCCCGAGTGACTCGCCTGACAGTCCCATCTTCTCAAGGTCGTCCACCAGGTTCATGTTGAAAGGTATCCCGCCGTATTGTCGGAACACGTTACGCCCGGCCTCGTAGACTTCAATCACCATAAACCTGGTCAGGAAACAAAAACCGTGGGTCCAAAAATAAATTATACATATAAGCCCCCTACCTCCACCCTCCCACCCAGACATGTCACATTTGACCTGACACATTTCTGCTAATTGGAATACAAAAACTATTTTTGTCCTAATGCGATTCAACCCTGAAACACCAACGCTAAAATTAGAAGCTGGTGTTGTCAAATGTGTGAGAAAAAATGTAATCTGCCATATTCAGAAAGAATAATATGTTATCTACCATATTCATTAACAAAAAGTAATATGTCATTTTCAGGAAAAAAAAAAAAAGTAAAATGCCATATTCATAAAGAAAACATATGTAATCTACCATGTTCATAAAGAAAACATATGTAATCTACCATGTTCATAAAGAAAACATATGTAATCTACCATGTTCATAAAGTAAACATATGTAATCTACCATGTTCATAAAGAAAACATATGTAATCTACCATGTTCATAAAGAAAACATATGTAATCTACCATGTTCATAAAGAAAACATATGTAATCTACCATGTTCATAAAGAAAACATATGTAATCTACCATGTTCATAAAGAAAACATATGTAATCTACCATGTTCATAAAGAAAACATATGTAATCTACCATGTTCATAAAGAAAACATATGTAATCCACCATATTCATTTAAAAAAAAGTTATCTGTCATTTTCATCAATAAGAAATTTTATCTGCCTATATTCATGAAGAAAAAATATAATCCTACGTATTGATAAATAAAAATGTAATCTGCCATATTCATTAACAAAAAATGTAATCTGCCATATTCATTAACAAAAAATGTAATCTGCCATATAAATTAACAATAAATGTAATCTGCCATATTTATTAACAAAAAATGTAATCTGCCATATTCATTAACAAAAAATGTAATCTGCCATATTCATTAACAAAAAATGTAATCTGCCATATTCATTAACACAAAATGTGATCTGCCATATCCAGAAAGAAAAATATGTTATCTACCATATTCATAAAAAAGTAATATGTCATATTCAGAAAGAAAAAAAAAAGTAAAATGCCATATTCATAAAGAAAAAAACGTCACCTGCCATATTCATAAGGTAAAAATGGATTTTTGAAAAATAACAACCTATGAACTGGGTCGCAAATCTGTTCTTTCTAATATGCAGGAACCAGCCGCTACCTAAACCACATCCACAACATTTGCAAATACACAGCCTTCACCATATCCACCACCAATATAAATCCACCTCATCCATCACATCTGTCATATCCACCACATCCCGTTTCCCCGAAGTCTAGCATATCCAACATATCCATCACATCACCATATCCACCATAGTATCCCTATCCGACACATCCAATACATCCATCACCAATTCAAAATACACCATATCCAGCATACCCACCACATCCAGCATACCCACCACATCCAGCATACCCACCACATCCAGCATACCCACCACATCCAGCATACCCACCACATCCAGCATACCCACCACATCCAGCATACCCACCACATCCACCATACCCACCACATCCACCATATCCACGACATCCACCATATCCACCACACCAAGACTGTTCACCACATCAACAATATCCCCCTACATCCCCCATATATCCGTAAATTATACAAATCCACAAGCTTCACCATATCCATATCCACAAAATCCACCATATCCACACATCAACACATCCACCATATCCACAACATCCACCATATCCACACATCCACCATATCCACAACATCCACACTGTCCGCAACATCCACGGTATCCACAGCATCCACACATCCACCATATCCACCATCTGCACAACACCCAACATCAAATATCCCCACAAAACAAATGAGATTTAAAAAAAAAAGTAAGGGATCTATTAAGCCAACCACAGTTCATGATTAAGACAATCACTTGTGGGTAAATGACCCACACCCACACGTGGGTTCATGAAATGAGCTACACAAATATATATATATATATGTTAACCACCCCCCCCCCACACTTTTCCCCTCACATACAACTAAACACAAATGCGTAAACCAGAAATGACATTTGACATATGCCATGTGCATTACGTAGTCCTGACACCTAAAAGTATGCCATGTGCATTACCTAGTCCTGACACCTCAAAGTATGCCATGTGCATTACCTAGTCCTGACACCTCAAAGTATGCCATGTGCATTACCTAGTCCTGACACCTCAAAGTATGCCATGTGCATTACCTAGTCCTGACACCTCAAAGTATGCCATGTGCATTACCTAGTCCTGACACCTCAAAGTATGCCATGTGCATTACCTAGTCCTGACACCTCAAAGTATGCCATGTGCATTACCTAGTCCTGACACCTCAAAGCTACAACTTGCAGCCAAACGGCTAACAACGAGTTATTTACAAGCCTGGAGCGTTCCCTTTAAAAAAAATACAATGCAGAACAACATGAGCTTAAGCTTTAAGCTCTGTGGTAAGCTGATGTCGGGCGACAGTTGCAATGAGATTTAATATAGGATTTTTTACGGTGGACATATTCCAGGTCATTTGCGTCTTTATAGTGAGAGAGGGGGGGGGGAGAATGGTGTAAATGTGTGAATAGTGGGGTGGGAGGGGGAATGATGTATATGTGTGAATAGTGAAGTTGGGGGTTGGGTGGTGTTTTGCCAGTCTGCATGTCCCAGTGCAACAAGGTAAAAGATGTGTAAAGATGATAGTAAAGTTGGACCTGGGGGAGGGGGGCAGGTCCTTTCTATCTATGTGTTTTGTTTTTGAAAGACAATCAACTGGACAGAAAGGTTTCTGGTAAAATGGTAAATTTTTTAGAGTTCCTTATACATTAACATTTCAAAGTAATGGAATATCAAATGTTGAAGGATTGAAAATAATAATCTTACTGATTGAATGAATTACTCGATTAAAAATAAATGTATGATTTACTCAACGGTGTGATATTTATATCAGCTAAAATGATTGTTTTTTTTTGTTTTTTTAATATTCTAAGAATTAGCTACATTGTAAAAATGACAGTCATTTCTTTTTAAAGTTTCTAAATCCCTTTTCACAAGAATAAGCGTTATCATAATAAAGCCAAACAGACTAAGAAATATAAATGCTATTATGATGTTAAAGCGTGACAAATAAAATCTGGTTTTATTTCAAAAATTTCAGTGCAGTTTACTGAACTGGTACACGTTAGGAAATGACCATCGTACTGCTGGTATCTTTTTCGGTTATACATTTCTTGCTGTGCAGACATTAAATTGGAATTGAGCGCTGAACCCACTAACGCCATCGCACTGACCCAAAAACGCCATCGCACTGATCCACAAACGCCATCGCACTGACCCACTTACGCCATCGTACTGACCCACAAACGCCATCACACTGACCTACTGACCTACTAACGCCACCGCACTGACCTACTAACGCCACCGCACTAACCTAATAACACCATCCTTTTGTTGAAATTCATCCAGCACATCTCTCCAGTCTTGTACAAGAGGGAAGCCGTCAGGGTGCATTGCAGTGTAGATATGGTTCAGATACTCATACTGATCCTTTAAGTAAGCAGAAACCACATCATATATATATATATATATATATATCACCAATATAGTAGGAAATCAAGAAATGGAGAGATTTAAGCTTACAATGCAAATATAACTAATGAATTTTGATATATTGAAAAAACAAATCAACGCAAATATGAAACGAAGCAAGAATCTTGATTGTAATTTATTTTATTTTGTGACATGATTTTTTGGTCCCGCCCCCTTTACTTTTAAAGATTAGAGATACAAGGGAAACAACTTAATTTAATGCTTTAATACCTGCAATTTTGGTAGTAGCCTCCCTTGAAAAAGTTAAAATAAAAAAAAAAAAACATTTATATGGCAAATGAACAAATTGTTTACTTTCATAATTTTTTTACAAATGTCAGAGCGTCACTCTGATATTTTAGCAATATTTATGAACGATGAAATAATTACTTTTGATCGAACGCCACGTCTAAACGGACAACACCCACTCATCCCCTACCCATAAACAATATTACTATGTCTTTGACTTAATCAAAGAGCTCGGTCATGATATTCCTGGAAATTGCATCCCAGGTCTGTTCCTAGAACCCCAGAAAGTTGCTCCGCACACCCTTCTGTTGTTTTCTTTTGTTGTTTTTTTAATCAGCAAAGCATTTTTCCATTTATAGTCAAAATGTTCCATCAATCAAAATATGTGATGTTTTGTTTTCAATTAAATATGTTGTGGCAAGACATCAAAATATGTGATGTTTTGTTTTCAATTAAATATGTTGTGGCAAGGCATCAAAATATGTGATTTTTTTGTTTTCAATTAAATATGTTGTGGCAAGACATCAAAATATGTGATGTTTTGTTTTCAATTAAATATGTTGTGGCAAGACATCAAAATATGTGACGTTTTTTTTTCAATTAAATATGTTGTGGCAAGGCATCAAAATATGTGATGTTTTGTTTTCAATTAAATATGTTGTGGCAAGGCATCAAAATATGTGATGTTTTGTTTTCAATTAAATATGTTGTGGCAAGGCATCAAAATATGTGATGTTTTGTTTTCAATTAAATATGTTGTGGCAAGGCATCAAAATATGTGATGTTTTGTTTTCAATTAAATATGTTGTGGCAAGGCATCAAAATATGTGATGTTTTGTTTTCAATTAAATATGTTGTGGCAAGGCATCAAAATATGTGATGTTTTGTTTTCAATTAAATATGTTGTGGCAAGGCATCAAAATATGTGATGTTTTGTTTTCAATTAAATATGTTGTGGCAAGGCATCAAAATATGTGATGTTTTGTTTTCAATTAAATATGTTGTGGCAAGGCATCAAAATATGTGATGTTTTGTTTTCAATTAAATATGTTGTGGCAAGGCATCAAAATATGTGATGTTTTGTTTTCAATTAAATATGTTGTGGCAAGGCATCAAAATATGTGATGTTTTGTTTTCAATTAAATATGTTGTGGCAAGGCATCAAAATATGTGATGTTTTGTTTTCAATTAAATATGTTGTGGCAAGGCATCAAAATATGTGATGTTTTGTTTTCAATTAAATATGTTGTGGCAAGGCATCAAAATATGTGATGTTTTGTTTTCAATTAAATATGTTGTGGCAAGGCATCAAAATATGTGATGTTTTGTTTTCAATTAAATATGTTGTGACAAGACATCAAAATATGTGACGTTTTGTTTTCAATTGAATGTTGTGGCAAGGCATCAAAATATGTGATGTTTTGTTTTCAATTAAATATGTTGTGACAAGACATCAAAATATGTGATGTTTTGTTTTCAATTAAATATGTTGTGACAAGGCATCAAAGTATGTGACGTTTTGTTTTCAATTGAATGTTGTGACAAGGCATCAAAATATGTGATGTTTTGTTTTCAATTAAATATGTTGTGGCAAGGCATCAAAATATGTGATGTTTTGTTTTCAATTAAATATGTTGTGACAAGACATCAAAATATGTGACGTTTTGTTTTCAATTGAATGTTGTGACAAGGCATCAAAATATGTGATGTTTTGTTTTCAATTAAATATGTTGTGACAAGACATCAAAATATGTGATATTTTGTTTTCAATTAAATATGTTGTGGCAAGACATCAAACTATAAAGGAAACAATCTGCCCCGAATAAAAGGAATTTATATTTTGACGCCAAACAAAACAGACCTAAACATATAATCAGGCTTTCTTGAGTCAGTGATGACATTACAATAATTAAAGTAGGAGGATTCACTATAATTGTGTCACCTAGTGCGTTCTGCTCCCGCGCACCCCACTAGTGACGCCAATGATTACACTGAAGCTAAATTCATTTAATGTTAAGCGGATATGCAATTATTAAGGAAAAATATTTGTTGTCAAAGACTCTATATATTCTAAACTGAAATAAATATACAAATACTACATTTAGTTAAAATCAGTAAAATAACACTATAACCATTTGCTTTTTTTTTCAGATCTTTCAACAGCTGGTTAAAATTCACATCATTTTTGTTTTGAGAGTTCGTTTTCTCAATATGAGATATGGATGATCTCAAGTCCACATGCGCGCTTTAAGTATATTCAATACGCCTAGGCCATCTTTTGATTCTACGATGACTTAAAGTGACGACATTAAATGTAAAAGCCCTGTAATCTAAACGCAAGATGGCCACTTACCGGTGGACAGTCGACTTCCAGGTTTCTTGGCTCGTCCAACGTTTTGTCTGCTGCCTCCATGATCTGAGAGATGGCGTCCACCCTGAGTCCGTCGGCGCCGTGCTCCATCCAGAACCTGACAACATCCTACAAACAACATCGTGAGGTCCTCACACATCTGCATAGATGATAGTGAGTGCACAGTGCACTTTCCTAAAGTCAATACCATAATATCATATTTCCCTTTTCATATGTCAGAACCCACGGGAGATTATTTTTAGCAGTTTTGTTGAGATTCTTCTAGAAATATGTATGAACACTTCTAGAAATATGTATGAACAATTATATTGAGATTCTTTTAGAAATATGTATGAAAAGTTATAATGAAATTCTTCTAGAAATATGTATGAACAGTTATACTTCGAGTATTCTAGAAAAATATATGAATAGCTATATAGAGATTCTTCTAGATATGTGTATGAAGTTATAACCTGCAAGAAGGATAGCCGGAAATGGAACATTGTTTTTTTTTTAAAATACAGAGGCAAGAAGTGCAGGTCTTTTGACAAGTTAAAAAAAAAAACAACGTTACCTTCATTTCCTTGACCACCAAGGGACATCGGTAATTCAGTTTGGGTTGCTCTGCCATAAATGGCCGGTAGTAGAACTGCCCCCTCTCTTCATTCCATGCCCATGCTGGACCTCCAAAGACACTGATCTGGTCGGAAATAAAAAAAAAATGTATATAAATTTTAGGTATCAAATTAAAATGACAGTCAGTTGACAAGTTAGGTTGGCTGACAGAGAGACAGTTGACAAGTTAGGTTGGCTGACAGAGAGACAGTTGACAAGTTAGGTTGGCTGACAGAGAGACCCAACACACTGATATCTTCTCTCAGATAGAATTGGTATTAAGGAATAAGCACGTGTGTTGCAAAGTTGTTAAATTATCTTCATCAAAAAAAAGACGACTTGACTAAATTGGATAGAAATGTATTAGATTGGAGATTGGAACAATTTCTGTCTTGATTGGAATTTGTTAGATTGGAGAATCGAAACAATTCTGTCTTCCACAAAGCTAATGTGTGGTTTAATCATCTGCTGTCTTTTGGTTGTTGAAGGTCTTCAGCCGAGACGTCCATTGTTTTGTTTGGTGTCGCATCTCCCAACCCTCCCAACCCTCCCAACCCTCCCAACCCTCCCTACCCTCCCAACCCTCCCTACCCTCCCTACCCTCCCTACCCTCCCTACCCTCCCTACCCTCCCAATCCTCCCTACGCATCTCCCAACCCTCCCAACCCTCCCTACCCTCCCACCCCTCCCTACCCTCCCAACCCTCCCTACCCTCCCTACCCTCCCTACCCTCCCTACCCTCCCTACCCTCCCAATCCTCCCTAACCTCACTAGCCTCCTTACCCTCCCTGCACTCCCTGCAATGTGTTAATTATTTAAAAAATATGCACTGTACTATAGTTGTCTGCCTCTCAACCAAGGCGATGGTAAACTGACCACGGCAGCACTTAAGTATAGTTGTCTGCCTCTCAATCAAGGAGATGGTAAACTGACCACGGTAACACTTTAGTATAGTTGTCTGCCTCTCAACAAAGGAGACGGTAAACCGACCACGGTAGTACTTTAGTATAGTTGTCTGCCTCTCAACCAAGGAGATGGTAAACCTACCACGGTAGCACTTTAGTATAGTTGTCTGCCTCTCAACCAAGGAGATGGTCAACTGACCACGGTAGCACTTTAGTATAGTTGTCTGCCTCTCAACCAAGGAGATGGTGAACTGACCACTGTAGCACTTTAGTATAGTTGTCTGCCTCTCAACCAAGGAGATGGTGAACTGACCACTGTAGCACTTTAGTATAGTTGTCTGCCTCTCAACCAAGGAGATGGTGAACTGACCACTGTAGCACTTTAGTATAGTTGTCTGCCTCTCAACCAAGGAGATGGTAAACTGACCACGGTAGCACTTTAGTATAGTTGTCTGCCTCTCAACCAAGGAGATGGTAAACTGACCGCGGTAGCACTTTAGTATAGTTGTCTGCCTCTCAACCAAGGAGATGGTAAACCGACCATGATAGCACTTTAGTATAGTTGTCTGCCTCTCAACCAAGGAGATGGTAAACCGACCACGGTAGAACTTTAGTATAGTTGTCTGCCTCTCAACCAAGGAGATGGTAAACTGACCACGGTAGCACTTTACTACAGTTGTCTGCCTCTCAACCAAGGAGATGGTAAACTGACCACGGTAGCACTTTAGTATAGTTATCTGCATTTCAACCAAGGAGATGGTAAACCGACCACGGTAGCACTTTAGTATAGTTGTCTCTCTCAACCAAGGAGATGGTAAACTGACCACGGTAGCACTTTAGTATAGTTGTCTGCCTCTCAACCAAGGAGATGGTCAACTGACCACGGTGGCACTTTAGTATAGTTGTCTGCCTCTCTACCAAGGAGATGGTAAACTGACCACGGTAGCACTTGAGTCTAGTTGTCTGCCTCTCAACCAAGGAGATGGTAAACTGACCACTGTAGCTGCCACGGGTGGATAAACAGCTTTGGGGATGGATTCAGTAGTCATTGTCAGCTGACGTTCTTGGGGGAAAGGATAGTTATAGTTAGTGACTCCGGGGTGCCGCCACTTACCGGGTGCCGCCACTTACTCACCGGGTGCCGCGACTTATTCACGGGTCGCCGCAACTTACTTACGAGAACCACAAAAACTTTAAGCATACACATCAAACGTAAGCCATATTGTAGTATATTGATTATAGTATACTGATTGTAGTTATATCAAATCAGTACGCCTTTGACCTGGGCCGACTACACGAAATTTGCATTCATCTCTTGTCCTGTAATTTCCTTTTCAGTTGATTCCAAGTATAGCCCATACGTTGCGTATCTGCCTCTCGCTCTAGAACGCGTCTCCATGTCTTTTCTCTCTTCTGTTGTCCCCGTTGATTCCATGTTAAGGATTGTCTTGTGAGGTTATTTCTATGGGTTTATGAAGAGTGTGCCCTTTCCACGACCATCTTTTCCTTGTGATGTCTTCGGCACCAGAAACTTGATATGTCATCTGTAACACACGAGGCCTTTGGTATGTCATCTGTAGCACACGAGGCCTTTGGTATGTCATCTGTAGCACACGAGGCCTTTGGTATGTCATCTGTAGTACACAAGACCCTTGACACGGTGTCACCTGTAGTACACATGACCCTTGATATTTCATCTGTAGTACACCAGACTCTAGATATGTCATTTGTAGTAATGTTTATTGATGAAGATTGGCCAATTTGTATATACTGTATATTCAGGGCCCTCCCCTAATAGAATATTCAGTGACCTCCCCAACTAGTATATTCAGTGACCTCCCCAACTAGTATATTCAGTGACCTCCCCAACTAGTATAATCAGTGACTTCCCCAAGTAGTATATTCAGTGCCCTCCCAAAGTAGAATATTCAGTGCCATTCCCAAGTAGTATATTCGGTATCCTCCCCAAGTGATCATACATCCTACTTCCCCCCCCCCCCCCCCCCCCCCCCCCCCCCCACCCGGCCTGGTACAAGACACAAGTCTTTGCTAGACTTGGTGTTTTACCCAAAGGCTAAAGCAACGTGGGCCAATTATAGTAATTCAAAGTGAAGTAATTAAAAGTAAGCCAAAGTAAAGTAGTGTACCCAGTTGTTGGGTGGGACTCGCTTGCCCGTGTCATCAACCTTCCCGTCATGCCACACGTAGAAGTCTGTGTAAGGATCTTCGCGTCTGACGCTCTTCTGGAACCAAAGATGGCGGTCGCTTGTGTGGCCGGGTACAAAGTCCACAATGATTTTGATATCTGGATAAATCAACCAGGAACTATTCATTTTTGTGTTTTGTTGTTGTTGGATAAGTTAAATTAAAAACTGTTTCATCCAGTTTTTTAAAGTTGGCATTGAAAAAAATACGTTTGTGTTTGTCAAATGTAGCTGATCCACCCAGAGGCGTAGCGATTTGGGGGGTGGGGCAGGGGGCAGGGGGATAGAGCTAGTTAGGGGAGCCAAAATGTGCTTTGATATATTATTGGTAAAAACAATGGGTTTGAGAGTTGAAAAAAAGAAAAGGGGGCGCTTTAAAATGGATCTTGTCCCCGGGCGCGAATCTTGTCCCCGGGCGCCAAACACCCTCGCTACGCCTCTGGATCCACCTGTTAGTGTTCATCAAGTATAAATTCATTTGCTAATCGAAATTAGGATAAAGCGAAGGCTCATCACCATTTGAAGCAAAAATGTCATCAGAATCATATACAAAAGCTGTCCCCGACCTGTGGGTCGAGACCCCTTTGACGTGTCGAACGACCCTTACACGTGGGTCGCCTAAAACCACCGGAAAACGCATGACATATTTATGTAGTAACAACAAAATTATCTTATGCCTGGGGGGGGGGGTCACCATAACATGAGGACCTGTACTAAAAGGTCAAGGCATTAGGAAGGCTGAGCACAATAAAATCATGTTAAACTCCCTTATACGACTTTCGTTTGGAATGGGTTTCTTTCTATGACAGTCACAATTCATATATTAGTATGACTCAATATAAATACATACTTTGTATGTAAGCTGTTTAGGCATTTGTGATTGATGAGCATTCATAAAAAGATATCTTTTGGGTAGAGCAATTACATATTGCTGTCAATACATTGTACGTGGGGGGGGGGGGGATTAAATCTAGAATATGATAATGAAGCGTAAAGTATTTTAGAGAGTTCTATGTCGATTCTCGGGGCTATATAAATGAATACTTGCCTGCCATTACCGTCATATGTGATTGATGAGCATTCATAAAAAGATATCTTTTGGGTAGAGCAATTACATATTGCTGTCAATACATTGTACGTGGGGGGGGGGGGATTAAATCTAGAATATGATAATGAAGCGTAAAGTATTTTAGAGAGTTCTATGTCGATTCTCGGTGCTATATATATGAATACTTGCCTGCCATTACCGTCATTAGTAGACGTTTCGACTCATGTAGTGGGCAGACTACCTAACATAAGGACGAATTAACGACCATAGAACTACGCTTCTTATGGGATGTAGGAAAGGAGATGCCTATGTTTGAGAACCACTGACCTCTCCTATGAGCCTCCGACACGAGCTGGTCAAAGTCTCTCAGGGTACCAAACATTGGGTCCACATCACGGAAATCCTCAATGTCGTAGCCAAAATCCAACATCGGAGATTTGTAAAATGGGCTCAGCCAAATGGCCCCTATGCCACATGCGGTGAAGTGATCCAAACGTGAAATTATTCCTGCATGGGGTTAAAAGAAAATGGCAGTTTTAACAGTAGCTGGTGGCACATAGTTTTCAACAATTTTAAAGTCAATTCAACCTCAAGTATTTATATTTCGACCAGTTCATCTATGTTTGACAGCGGTTTTATTTATAAATAATGATGCTAAAATTAACTTTATGTACTTGCTTATAGTAAGCTCGGCCAATGTTTGTATGGCTATAAAACATGAACTTGCGCCGCTGGCTTTATGGCTATAAAACATGACATTGCTCCGCTGGCTTTATGGCTCTAAAACATGAACTTGCGGTACGTGTGTGTGTGGTACGTGTGTGTGGGGTACGTGTGTGTGGGGTACGTGTGTGTGGGGTATGTGTGTGTGTGGGGTGTGTGTGTGTGTGGGGTTCGTGTGTGTGTGGGGTGCGTGTGTGTGTGGGGTACGTGTGTGTGGGGTACGTGTGTGTGGGGTACGTGTGTGTGGGGTACGTGTGTGTGGGGTACGTGTGTGTGGGGTAGATGTGGGTGTCCTACCTGGAATGTCGCCGATGCCGTCACCATTTGAGTCCTGGAAAGATCTCGGGTAGATCTGGTAAACAATCGTTTTCTTCCACCACTCCATGGTGTCCGGTGTCTCCTTATGACTCATAATGGTCAGTGGGCGATAGTGGTCAGTGGCTGATAGTGGTCTATTGTGATAATGGTCAGTTGATGATAGTGGTCAGTGGGCGATAGTGGTCAGTGGCTGATAGTGGTCAGTGGCTGATAGTGGTCTATTGTGATAATGGTCAGTTGATGATAGTGGTCAGTGGTTGATAGTGGTCAGTGGCTGATAGTGGTCTATTGTGATAATGGTCAGTTGATGATAGTAGTCAGTGGCTGATAGTGGTCTATTGTGATAATGGTCAGTTGATGATAGTGGTCAGTGGGCGATAGTGGTCAGTGGCTGATAGTGGTCTATTGTGATAATGGTCAGTTGATGATAGTGGTCAGTGGTTGATAGTGGTCAGTTGATAGTGGTTAGTTAGGGTTAATTGTCAGTTGGTGATGAATGTCTATTGTGATAATGATCAGTTGGGAATAGTGGCCAGTAGGTAATTGTGGTCAGTTGGTGATACTGTAGTTGTCAGTTGGTGATGATGATCAGTTTGTGCTAGTAATCAGCTGATGATGGTGGTCAGTAGGTAATGATTTTCAGTCCCAATGTGTTTCTAGTGGTATAACTTGGACTGCATGTTGGAGTGGATCCTCGCTTCGTCCGGTGCAGAATTCTATGAATTGAATAGACGTCAAATATTACTTCATGCGCACAAGAGTGAGACTCAGAAAGTTTATCCTTAGGCCATAACACAGTGACCCGAGGAGACGGACACAAGTGGCAGCAGTTACCTTCCAGACAGTCTCGCAAGAATGAAATGAGAGATAACTTTTTACCCAAGAAACTGGACTTAGTACATCTGTTCTGTGTTAGATGTGTACACAGTAGAAGAAGCCTTTGTAATGAGGCATGTGCACTCGGTACTTGGTACTGATTTAGAAAGAAAGCATACGCCAAGAGTGAACAGAAGGTCACAATCTTTTGTGACACAATCTTTTGTGACACAATCTTTTGTGACACAATCTTTTGTGACACAAATCTTTTGTGACACAATCTTTTGTGACAACTTAAATCAACACGTTAAATATACAGGGGAATGCTATCCAATGGTAGGAGAGATGAGGAGCATATGACCAGATTGAAAATATTATCTCGTAAGTTATGTATTATGTTTCAAAGAAGAAACTCAGCAGCTCCCCCTAATTGGGAGGAGCAACATAACCAGCAATGTTTTAGGATCACGCAACATGTTTCATGACATACAGCAGTATGAATAGAATGTGTGTGCCGTCATTATCCTCCAACATTCACATGTTGTATTAATTAATAAATAAACGTGTATTACACCAGCACAGTTAATCAACGCTGATTTCAGTATAATCACGAATTCAAATAATCCAATGAGTACATTAAGCTTCCCTAAAACACTTCAGGAATAAAAAACAACAAACAACTACACACTAAAGGTTTTGACTCTCACCACCCTACCATTCCCCAACTACCTGACGTGGGTTTCCTTTGTTGACACAAGCTCCTACGCCAGGAACTCTTTCCCTCACAGGTGGACTACTTTCATAAAAAAAAAATCTGGGATCAGGGATTCTCCCCTCGTCGTACCGTCTTTCCTTTTCGTTTAGGGTTTTATTCAGGGAATGAAACCGTTATAGAAACAAAATGGTGTTGAAGTGGTGAATCCCGATGGACAGAGGGAGGAAAACAAAAAAAAAGGAATGACAAATATCTAAGAAAATGTCCATGAGTAAGTTTGTGGTAGTATGGCTATTATACTTGATAAAGTATAACTGAAAAATGTTCTGGTCCATCTCACAATTCACTAGCAGTTGTCTTAAATGTTTACAGTACGCTGACAGCTCTCAGAGTCGGATTAAAAGTTTACCTTCCCATTATGTTATAGTTACACACTACCATGTTATAGTTACACATCAAAATGTCATAGTTACTCATCGCAATGTTATAGTTACACATTACCATGTTATACGTACACATCAACATGTTATAGTTACATATCACCATGCTACAGTTGCACTTAACCATGTTAAAGTTACATATACCCCTGTTATAGCTACACATCACCATGCTATAGTTACACATAACCATGCTACAGCTACACATCACCATGCTATAGTTACACATCCCCATTTTATAGTTACACATCAACGTGCCATAGCTACACATAATTATGCTATAGTTACACATCACCATGCTATAGTTATACATCAGTCTGTTATAGTTACAAAATCACCCTGACATAGTAATGCATCACTCTGCTATAGTTACACATCATAACTATGCCTTCTTTAACATCAATTAAGTTAATGTATTAAGACACATAACGCACTACAAGTAGATTCACGATACAATATCATTATAAGATTCAATTACAAAGCAGACACAATTTTAACATCTGTTTGTACTCTATGTATAGCAGGTGTCATAAACATAATTATGTGAGACAAAGCTGATAATGACCGAACCTGCCAAGTACTGGATCCGTAAACAAGCGAGTGTGAAGCGAATTTATATGTAGTGAAAGTTGTGTGAAATTTCATGTCGAAAGTTGACGGCACTCTCGTATCTACTGTCACGTCATACGTTGACCGTACTCTCTTATCTACTGTCACGTCATACGTTGACCGTACTCTCGTATCTACTGTCACGTCGTAAGTTGACCGTACTCTCGTATCCACTGTCACGTCGTAAGTTGACCGTACTCTCGAATCTACTGTCACGTCATAAGTTGACCGTACTCTCGAATCTACTGTCACGTCATAAGTGGACCGTACTCTCGTAACTACTGTCACGTCATAAGTTGACCGTACTCTCGTAACTACTGTCACGTCATAAGTTGACCGTACTCTCGTAACTACTGTCACGTCATAAGTTGACCGTACTCTCGTAACTGCTGTCACGTCGTATGTTGACCGTACTCTCGTATCTACAGTCACGTCCTACGTTGACCGTACTCTCGTATCTACTGTCACATAATACGTTGACCGTACTCTCGTATCGATTGTCATGTCATAAGTTGACCATACTCTCGTGTCAACTGTCATGTCATAAGTTCACCCTACTTACGTGTCAACTGTCACATATTCGTCGTACTCTCATGTCAACTCTCATTTCATAAGTTAACTGTACTGTCAGATCAACTGTCAAGTCATAAGTTGACCGTACTCTAGTGTCAACTGTCATGTCATAAGTTGACCGTAGTCTAGTGTCCACTGTCATGTCATAAGTTGACCGTAGTCTAGTGTCAACTGTCATGTCATAAGTTGACCGTAGTCTAGTGTTAACTCATGTCATAAATTGACCGTACTCTCGTGTCAACTGTCATGTCATAAATTGGCCGTACTCTGATGTCAACTGCCATGTCATATATTTGCATACTCTCATGTCAACTCTCATGTCAACTGTCATGTCATAAGTTGACCGTACTCTTAAGTCAACTGATATGTCACACAATTTGCAGACAGGTCAGGTCAGTTAATAGTGCTGTCAGTGTTAAAGACTGAGGCTTAAACTAATTATAATTTAATGTAAGCCCCCAATGGTCCTCAGACCTTTTCCTTTGTTTTAAAAGGATGGGTCTTATTTTCACTATTTTATCTAGATTGCTTCTGTCTGGTTCAAGAAATCCGGATCCTTCTGCGTGTCCTAGAAACACTAGATATTTTTTTTTGTTAGCTCTAATTTTGAGGGTTTGATAATAAGTCCAGCTTCGTTCAGAATGGTAAAGACTTGGAGCATTTGCAAGTGTGTTTCACGGTCCTTCTGAAGAAATACACGTATCGCCAAAGTACGTCATGACTTTTTTTTTTTAACCTGTAAATAACTTCCTGACAATGTTGTGAACGTAGCTGACGCGGTTGCAAACACTTTTTGAAAAGACTTTTACGGTGTGAGTATTTGTCCCTCCTTGTCTAGGGAAAAGTGCGCAATGCGTCGGAAAACGCCACCGGGCGGAACATTTCCTGACCTTTCGGGGGGCGCCGGGACGGGTGATGCGAAAATAGGGACTGTCCCGGGTGAACCGCGACGCCTGGTCATCGTACCTCGTGTTGGTCGGAGTTTATGCTATTCCTATTCCTGTTTGTACTCATTTTTCTTAGTTTGTTTATTATGTACTCATAGATAGTTTTATTTTCATCTGTAATGCCTTCTTTTGAAAGTATTTTTTTTTCCAGAACCGTCTTCGGGACTCTAACTTTCCCACTGAACATTCACTCATCAGGTGAGAATGACGTAGCCTCGTTAGGGACCTCTCTATATGCAAATAGCCGTTCAAATCTTCCCTACTTTTCTGGTTCATTATTTGATACTTTCATTACAATCTGCTTCAATCTACCATGAAATCTTCACCATTTCGTTGAGCTGCTGATAATAAGTTGATGACTTATTGATCCTAATATTGACGTTCACACACCTGTTGGTACAATTCTGATGATATTTAATTTGTGGACCATTATCAGATAAAAAAAAATATTCTGGAAATCCCATCCTAGCAAATATGGCTAACAGTGAGTGCCTCATGAATATCTTTATTAGTGAATGTTTTTGATTGGATAGCTTCTGGCCATCCAGTGGCTGGATTCAGTTAGTAAGGATATATCTATTTTTGTGTTTACTTTAGAAGTTACTGTTTTTGATTGGATAGCTTCTAGCCATCCAGTGGCTGGATTCAGTTAGTAAGGATATATCTATTTTTGTGTTTACTTTAGAAGTTACTGTTTTTGATTGGATAGCTTCTGGCCATCCAGTGGCTACATTCAGTAGAGTAAGGATATATATATATATATATAT